ATTGTTATGTATATATATTAAAAAACCCCATTGTTCTTCATTTTGTTGATTCATACATTTTACAGTACATTACAAATATTTAGCTTTGCAAATGTTTTACTCACCAAATTTATCGAGGATACCAGAATATATTAGCTTTCCTCATTAGCGTTGTATCAATTCATAATAACGACACTAATGATAAAAGTCAACTTAAATTTACACAAAAGGTTTCATGACGTGTATCGTTTCATACATTTGGAGGGGCATTAGTAAAAATTTATTAGTAATAGAGCAGAAGAACAAGTAATGAAATATGAAGATCTAAAAATAACTTCAGAATTCTGAATTTATGAATTTTAATATTCATCATAATTAGTTAGAGTTGGAGGTTACATTTGTTAGAGGTGCTTTTGTTGAAACAAGTTTGTGTTCAAGAGGGGCCTAATCAAGTTCAGTTATAATGCAGACTACAGTATTATACAGGTATATTACAAGTTGAAATTTTACTTCAATATTCCACACTTCTACGAATTAAAGAAAATTACAATCGTATTACAGTAATAAAAAAATTAATGAAAAAATGGAATTCAATAATGTTTTTAAGACGACACTTTTCTCTATAATTCATTTCCCTCGTTTATAAGTATGGAGAAAAAGTAAGGAAAAAATAGCATTTTATATTCTCCCTCCATAAAGTAATGCCTACTCACTGTTTTTCATTTAATATACGGTCTTTACAAAATTGAAATTACCAATTAACATTTTCGAAAATGGTAAAACATAACCAAAATCGTTAAATCGCGACTGCAATCGTAATTTCGTAAAAAAATGTAATAAAAAATGCAATGCAATAATGTGTTTTGAACTGACACCTTTTTCTATGATTCATTTTCCACGATTAAGAGTATGTATTTTATTTACATACTCATACATATACCTCTCATACACACTAGCACATAATGATCAAGAGAGGGAAAAATAGCATTCTAGATCCTCCCCCCTTGAAGTAATGACTACTCACTATTTTTTATTTAATAAAACGGTCTTTAAAAAACTGAAATTACAAATTTCAATTACCAATTTCAAAAATGGTAAGAGATTACCAAAATTATTACATCATGACTGCAAGCTCATTAAAATAAAAGAAAAATTTAATAAAAAATGCAATGCAATAATGTTTCTTAACTTTAAGTGTGTTGACACTTTTTTCTATAATTTATTTTCCACGTTTAAAAGTATGTATTTTATTTACTTACTCGTACATATACCTACTCATACACACATACATATAACAATCAAGAAAGGGAAAAATTGCATTGTAGATCCTCCCCCCATGAAGTAATGGCTACTCTCTATTTCTCATTTAAACAGTAGTCTTTACAAAACTGAAATTACGAGTTTCAATTACCAATTTCAAAAAATGGTATAAAAATACCAAAATTATTAAATCATGACTGCAATCTCATTAAAATAAAAGAAAAAATTAATAAAAAATGCGATGCAATACAGTTTTTTAAACTGACACTTTTCCCTATGATTCATTTTCCACATTTAGAAGTATGTATTTTAATTACTTTCTCGTATACCTACTCAGCAATCAAGAGATGGAAAATAGCATTCTAGATCCTCCCCCCTTGAAGTAATGGCTATTCCCTATTTCTCATTTAAACAGCAGTCTTTACAAAACTGAAATTACAATTTACAATTACCAATTTCGAAAACGTTTTAAAAAAATTTTCAATTCATCGAATGATTTCTAGCCCTCGGCCTAACGGGTATCTCCATGTCAATTTCCACGTTGGCTCTTCGGCAGACCGCGCAAGCACGCTTACGTTATAAGTGACACGGTTATCGTGGATCCGATGCAATAATGTACTCGTGGGGTAGTTTTAGCCACCGCAAAAACGTTGACCAATAACTATCATTAGTCGGAAACTGATATTCGTGACATGAACACGGAAATGAAAATTATATCACCGACTTGGTTAAACGAAATAGGAGAAAATACTAGCTTTCATTTATGAAATTTTCACAGTGAAACAAAAAAATTACTTCTGATCTATCAATAAGTGACCGTGTAAATTTGACTGATTACGTAGCTCGTTAGTGAACATAATTAGTGCTGTATATTAAAGCAAATGTTAAATATATACACAACGAAGAAAGAATGTAATTAGAAATAAGAATCACATGAGAATTGAAATCCACTAACTTCAGTGCTAAAATTGTTAAATATTAAATTGTCTCCGAAGCACCTGTGTACGGTTTCGGAAAATCTCGTCTTATGATAATTAAATTAACTGGAAAAGTTTGTGTACAAAGAAATCGTTGACTTGTTTTATTGTGCATAATAAAAAAAACTCAAGGTAGTTTTCAAAGCTATATAAAAAAGAGCGCAGTGCAGCAGATAATATTTAACCTGTTTACATAATTTGTTTTAATAAGAACAATACTGATAACATTAAACTACTAAACATTTGATAATCACAAATTAAATTTGACACTGAATTTTAAATACTTAGTGCTAATATAAGAAATTTCGCATTTAAAAAAAAGTTATTGTAACAAGTATTGCCCATAAACTGTTATCTCTAAACGGATTTATGTTATTCAGATGAAAAGTTAAAATAAATATTTAATACAAAAGTGAAGTTTTTTAAATCTTTTGAATAATAAATAAAAAAATATTTAAGTATGCCATTTTATGAAAATATAAGTGACTTTATGATTGGTCAAGTAATAGTTGTTAAATTCTACGTCAAACTTTACACAACTAATTCTGTTTAGATATTCAATATAAACAAAAATATATAATTAAATATTTAAACATTACCAGAAAATGTTTAATACTTAACTCCAAATAAAATTGTGTTCACTATTTCAAATGCACGTTTATATCGAAATATACGTACCAAATTGCATTTAAAATGGAAAGCTAACGCTAAGTTGTGCAAAATTGAAAGTATCTCTAGAAACTGCCATTACAATTAACAAACAAATACTAATTGAGAGATAACGTCTTGAACTAATTTGTCGTAAATAATTATCAAAATAAATATTAACAACGTGGAACAATAGTATTAAAATAAAATTATTGGATGTATAAGCAAATATGTGTTTGTAGAGAACACTCAAATGAGTGGAAAAGAAATTATATATATGACCTTAAAACAAATATGATAAAATTTAATCAAAATATACGAACTTTATAAATTTCTTAAGCTGATACGTTATTTTATAGGTTGTTATTGAAAATTAGAAATTTCTATTCAATAGTTCAGTATTCAATAAAATTGAACTATTGATTAAAAAAATATTGTGATACACAACAAATATGTTCAGTAAAACTCTTTCAAATTTGCGAAAAAGGTCTCAACAGATTTTTTAATTATCAAACAAGTGCAATTAGTGATTAGTTTATTACAATGATGAATGAAAATAATCGACTGATTTTCGAAGACGAGACAGCCACATCGAGCGAGTCGCGATGGCACGCGGTTTTCCACCGTAAGACACGGGAACCTCCGAGCCCTTCGAGGTACCTTGGAGAATGCAACCCCGCCATGAGTTTTGATAGACTTTCACAATACCAGGGAGATAATCGCCAAAGAGATTTAGTCAAGACTCAAATTTGGTCGGACCAGTGAGGTAAGCTAATGATTTACAGATAATTGGCTCAAAGCAAAGTTTATAAGATTTTGTTATATTATTATGTGTAGATTATTATATGCGCAGTGTCCATACAGAATTGCACAAATGCATTTAAATATGAATATTGAAAAAGATTTCAATATTCTAAATGCTTCTATCTCTGCAAGTCGATTATATCTTATACAAATATTACAGAAAATATTACCCATTTGATTAATACTTATTAATACCAATTTCGTCGATATCGTCTTCATACTACAGGTCAAAAGTACGATCGTGGCAGACCTTTCTCAAAAAATAAACAAAATAAATTAAAATTGATACATATTTCATCTTTATATATAAGGAAAAGAGTTATGTTTAAAGCAAATTCACTTACGTTTGAAATTAAAAATACAATCAAAAATTCAAAAAAGCCATTTGATCTGTCCCGATATAAGACTTTATCGGGACGATTATTTAATCCGTAATTATTTTTATTCCGTAACTAAAATCTGCATTAAAATTATCCCTTGATTTGTTTATAAATTTGATTATTTTTAATAAAGTTTATGTGCGAAGGATAATAAACTGTCAGAAAATGTAATTTCATAAAACAAATAATGCTGATGAAAAATTTGAAGACTTGGCGATTCATAATTCAATGAATACTTTGATTATAACTTTACATAAAAAGCATAATTAATTAGAGTAAATATATTACACAAAAATAGTATAATTCTTAAAGAAATCTCTCATATTTATTTAGATACAGATTTTTTCAAAGCAAAGAGTGTGAACATAATAAAAATTTCTATAAATTTCGACAAACAATTTGCAATATTTATAAAATAAAATGTAATTATTATCTACTAGTCAATAAATGATCCATGAAGCTTAAACGAAAATGCCTATGGTAATTCCAAAGACATTTCAAGTTTATTCAATTCTCTCTTCCCGAGCAAAACAATATTTTGCAATAAGATTGATAGAATGATATCTATATAAAATAGTTTGCAAAATCAATAAAGAATAAAACACATGATTTTCTAGTAATTTTCGTGACTGAAAACCGTGATTACCCCCTACATTGACGTTTTTTTCGCAAAACATTAATATATGCGATAACATCACAAATATTATGTAAACGTATTTACAATGTTTCATAATATTTCTAATCGTACATCTTATTTTATAAAGATCACTGCACACGAATATGATATTTCATCATATATAATTGTTTATAATGTATTATATATCATGACTATAATACATATCGGTTTCCCACATCTTTAGTAAAAAGTTTTTAAAAACACATTTGAAATTTGAAATCAGTTAGTGAAAATTTAATATTTGGGGTACAATTTTACCGTGGTTGATCGAAAAAACATATAGTGGAGCACGTACAATCCAAAAATTTTGTAACTTTCATCAAATCATCGATTAAAAATATAAGATGATTTTAAAATTAACGATTTCATATCGTTTAGTTAATTTTGAAGCAACAAAATCTATTTATTTTCCATCATAATGAATAAAATATTCATTTTAAGAGCTTTTTTTTATTAATTGATTAGCGAGAAAGACAAATGAACAGATATTTATTAATTAAACTAATGATAATGGATACAAATGCCATATCTTAATGATAACGAAATAAGCCGTGGAAATAAAGCTGTTAAATCACTTTTTTGCCCATCTGCCGTTGACAAATTATTTGAACAGATATTTAGAATTATATCTTATACACGTGTAACGAATGTAACAATAAATTATTAATGGGGAGAGGTTTGTTAGGAGAAAATCGGCAATATGTTTGCCGAAAATTAATAACTTTAATAAATTTACAGCTTCATAAACATAGTTTGTCAATATTTAAATTTCTATTATCCCTGTTCATTTTTAATTCATCGTTTTTTAAGACAGTGCCATAAACACACCAGAAATTTAGCGATCTTTACGACGTTTAAAAAAATACAAAGATACACATATCTACTAATTCAATGATTTTCAAATATAAATCCTATTTATTACTTTGCCATTGCATTATCAAGTGCCAACGTTGACTTTACAAAACAATAATTTAAACATGATGTGATATCATGAAAATTACATTTTTAAAAAAAAAAATTTAAGCAAATCATTGTTATTTACGACATAGTTGCGGTCCAAACATTTGTGAAACAGCACGTAAACAAAAATAGTGAAACAAATTTGATCAAATGCAATTATTATATTACTATGAATCTATTTCTAGTTATAGTTGAATATAGATCTATTAATGTTAAAATTATATTTTTAGGAATTCATTGGATACGAACCTAACCACTGATATGAGGCACAGCAGTGATAATTTGCGTCAATCGGTGGCCGATGGTGCGATTAAAGCAGCACACAGTTCTGACACGAATTATGGGTTAGACGATATCATAGAAAGCCCTTTGAGAGTGGCTCAATTAAAGGTAATTATATATAATAAGTCATTAAATATAGCACTGTTTTATTTAAATGAATTATTTCTTCCCATTTGTGAAAGAAATATTTGCAAAAATAACAATGCCCGCACGATATCAGACATTTCCAAAAGTTGGACTATATTGGCAAAACATTCCCGCTTAGGCAAGGTGATGGTTTATTAAATAAATTGGTGGCTACGATTTTATTTTGCATTTTAGGTATGCGTTTAGTTTTTTATAAGATTTTCTATGTGAAGGCTTAATTTCTCAAACTTGAGCAGATATGCAACTTTTAATTTATATTTGTCAGGCTAGTTGGAATTTTTTTTTATATTTTCAATAATTATTACAACTGCTAAATTATTAACATCAAGTAATATTGATAAATAATAACATAAATTTAAATAAATAAAAGTGCAAATGATAAAATTTACATGAAAATAATATCCGTAATATGATTTGATATAAAATATAAGCAAATAATAATAAAAATAAAATTAATAAATAATATAAATAAAATTACTGAATGATAAAATAATACTAGAAAAATAATAAAATATAACAAAATAACAATAATAGAAATAGACTAGTTGGAATATCTAGATATCCTGATATATATATAGGGTAGGGAGAGGCACAAAAGTCGATTTTGACTATTAGTCAAAAAATATTGGGTCAAGTAATATTGGGAAAACCAAATCAACTACATCACAATAAATAACACATATCTAACAAACAAATATCAAATTTTTTTATTTTTCAATAAACAATATGTTATTTTTGCTATTTTTCTAAAATTTATCAACTAGCCCGTTTTACATACAACCTTCGTATGGAGTTGGAGTAATTATTAATTAAATTTAAAACATGCAAAATTGCTTTTTGTAACTTATTTTGCATTGTTATTTACTAATTTCTTATTGTTTACATCTTCCACCATTCAGGTGGCCCTTTCTACCCTAAACGTTATGTAAGAAGCTATTCTATAGGTTGTATAAAACAAAGTAGAATCTAACTCAAAAATAAAATAAACGTTTTAAACAAACTAAATAACGTTATATATAATAAATATTATATGCATGTATCATAAACTAAACAACATTGCTCAACAAAAAAAAAACTAAGAATGGACAAAATACTTTTCTTGAAGAATTGACAATGTGGCCTTTTATCTCCTAATAGGGATATTTTCTCCCCTCTACTTCGAAAAAGTATTATTAAAAAATCCCAATTTTTTCTTGATTTTGAGATGATATTGGACCTTTTTACCTGCAGACCTTTAAGCCCAGCTATATCCTAAATAATAGTTTTATTAATAAACTATCCTTAAATATACGTTTCGGCCGTTGGTTGAATTTTTTTTTAATATTTTCGAAAGGTTTTTCTTGTCCGTGGATAATGTACCCATACCGACATATGCTATTCCGACATATATTATTCTTTTGATTTTTCAAATTGTGTAATTTAATTAAAACAACAAACTCGTTACCTAACATATGTTGCCTATTGCAAGCCTATTGAAATCCCAATCAAAATAATTATCATGCAATCAAAAATGTACTGTTTTGTAGTTCAGCTATAATTTATTACGTCTATTGACCTACATTTCTCCATCTATTATAACTTTAATCATATGTGTAGCTTTTTCATCAACAGGGTGGAAAATTCCCATATTCAATTATCCATTTTTGAAATACAATACACATCACTCAAAATAATTATTGCTTTTAATGACAAATTTATACAATCAGAGTGACTGTTTGAATTATATTATATAGTTGTAAGACTCAATTTGAACAACCAACGAAAAGAAATATTTAAAAATCATTCTGGGTAATGAAGCAGCTACTCAATGTACATTCAAAGAAAAGTAAGTGAAAGTAAATCTAATTAATTAGGTCAGCTGTTTCTTTTTGTCTGTTTAATTACGTCATTTTTATACTTAGAATCTCTATTCCAAAGTTCAAACAATGCTATATAAATTTGGCTTCACTTTGTTTTTACGTTTATTACGTTATACAACAAACAAAAATTGGTATCTTTGTGCAAAGAAAATAAATTCACATTTGAGCTATGTTTTGTTAGGAAAAGTTTTTGAAAATGACCACAGAAGAATCAAAATGGCAAATTGTTAACTTCTTTGACTCCATACAATTTGAATTGTGGAATGTGGAGTATGTAGTCAAGAAGAAATCAACAGGGGTCGTTCTTATTGCCATTTTAAAAAACTTTGCCAAACCTTAGCTTAAATGTGAATGAATTTCTTCACTTTTTACAAGTGATATAATATTTTAAAGGGTTCGTTTTCACTATCAACTCTAAAATCATGTGAAGTTTTTTTAGAACCAGGTTCTTGTAAGTTGATATTTAAAAATAAGAAAAAAAAAATTATCCGAGATGCTCTTTTTGTCAAAGTATCTTCAAATGACATAAATATATCATTGAATTATTCGCAGAAATTTAAAATAATTATTTTTCCTTATCTTCAAAACCGACCAACTATTTTTTATTACTTTTGAATTATTTATCATTTCCGCAATGATACCTTTCCACCTTTAGCCTATAATTAATGCATACTTATGCCATATATTATTATATGCATAGATGAGTGATGTTTGATGCCAATATCGACATTGGAAATTAATTACAGGTTAAATTGTAAATAAATTATCACCCACATGTTAGTTTCCACGCCGACGTAACCTGACTATTAAAATATTGAACCATCACCATTAAAAATAATTGATAAATATGCGGAAGATCTAATTACGGGTATAAAATTCAAAAGTAGATTATTGTAATATAGCAAAAAAATTGGATTCATATTACCAAAATGTGCCTAGTTTACGATGTCATATGTATATAGAATAAATACTTCCTCAGTGGTTAAAACTTCGCAAAATAATATAATATTAAATTTTTTTTTTATAAAATAATCAACAAAAATATTATCAAGATTTATGATTTTGTTGTTGATTATTTCATAAATAAGTAAATTAAAGCAGTGGAAGGTTGATAATGCTATCGATAAATATTTCATAATATAATGATTTAATGTATTAATGCCAATTATGCATACTATATTATATATTACCAATATAGTTTTGATGTCCAACAAAATTATAGTGTTACACAACAACATGAAACAATTATATTAAATTAGGTTGCCAAGAAATTTAGTTACAGGAACTGCATTTTGAAACGTTTAAATATTACATAAACATAATCCAAATACATCTTTAATTCAAAAACAGACTTATAGTTTATTCATTCGTGACAATCATAACCAGGTCAGAATGGCTTCATCAAGTTAGTTTTCGGACAGATAGACAATTTCCTTTTGACCTTTCCACCATAAGGCAATATGTGCTAGAAAGAACTACTCGAAATTATGTTTTGACAGGGGATAGAAATCATTTCATAAATGAATAATAGTTGTGTATAAAGACAACGGTTTCTAATCAAATAATCGAATCATATTTCGATTTAATAAGATTTAAATCGAAAATTAGATAAATTAGATGGGAGCTAGGAAAACATTAGGAGTTTGCTTTTTTTTTAAAAAAAAAATCATCTTACGTGACCTTCGACTATTTTGATATATATTCTTCTAACCTGGAGTAGAGGGTTTTAATTCCAACAGGGATCAGAAATGCACGTTCTTTGCTAACTTATATTCCTAATCTTTTGTTGCGTTTTTTACTTGAGATCTATAACCATAAGTATAAATTTCATATACTGCTTGATATCGAGCTTGGCCGAGGTTGGGATCCAATCCTGGACTAGTTTATCCTAGTCCACGTCCTTACTGGACAGTGACTTCCAAATGCAAATGAATTTTCATGCAACAAAAACAATAAGGAAATTATACTTGATCGGACGCTTATTAAACAATAACTAATATAAAATACAACGTTAAACATATGCTTTTAAAAAACATAGATTGATATTTAACTGATCCAAACATTTCATAAAGAACAACCCTATCTATTATCAATTTCAAAATTTATTTTCGATTGTAATAGAAAACCCCATGTGATATTTAAAATATAACCTTAGAAATGTTTACTTTCAAGTTTATTAAATATTCGAAATAAATTCAATTATATTATTCATGGCAAAAGCTTTAAATATAGTCAAACTCAAACGAAGAAACTATTTCCATCCCCTGATATAATCAACAGTATGTCGAAGTATTTTTATTACATACATTAAATCTGACATTGGACATCAGTGTCCAATATAGGGCAAGTAAAAATAATACGAAAATGAATTTAAAACAATATTAATACGGTATATTTATCTATTGGATATATGACGTTTTAAAATATAATTTTTCTAAGCATTGCATGCATTTAATCTGATAATATAGAATTCATGATCTGTGAATGGTAATGCATTATTAATTATAAAATGTGTCACATAACGTAAATATCATTAAAGGTCAATATATAGTATGAAATCATGTAACATTTGAGAGAATAGACTATAGAGTATCGATTTATACGTGACATATTTGCCTGAGTCAATAATGATGAATTAAATATAAACGTGAAACTCAAATTGTTTTTTTAAATATATGAAAAATTATATTATTCAGAAATTTTGTTTTATTTGAATATAATTTATCATATTGATATTTATTGCAGTATATGCACTAAATGAGAGATAAAGTAACTCGAATGCAAAATATCAAACAAGCTCACATCTTAAATTTTGGCCAATTCTTTATAGATTCTCTAGCCAGAACAGATTATAAAAATAAATAATGTAGAATTATTAGTGATCGAAGAGAAGTATTTAATTTAGCTTTAGATTGATTTTTCCAAAAGTTAATTTTATTATTCCGTTAAATTTTTCTTATAATATTTGGATGGTGAGAATAATAATCAGAAAACCCTTGATCATTTGCAAATAATGAATGGTCAGTAATCAGTATTCTCATCAAATAATATAATTTTTTTAAATAAACCATATTTTATAAATATCTTCCTGTCCAATTTGAATCTGGGGCGTTGTATTAATATAATGCCAACTTCGTTCAAATCAGAGTTTTCCATAAATATTTGAAAGATACTATGTATGTTTATTTATCTGATAAAAATATCAACCACAACGCGATTTTTTTATTTCTCACAAACATTTACTTACAACCACCCACACATAATATTCAGTAAATCTAGAAAAAACTTAGAAATTTAATGTGATTTGTAACAATTATATACGATTATTTTAGAACTTATAACAGAGCATATAATTACATCTTTCCCTGGGTTAGATACCCAACTATAATTTTACATGATTACATATTTCTTTTTATAATTACCAGGCACAAAGCAATGTACCGAAGTGGAAAGAAACATATCGAAAAGTACTGAATACTGTCTCATCCAGAGGGGCATCAGCAGTTGGGGTCAATTTAAAAGACGCTTTTGGGCCTAGATTGAGCAATGATACTGTATCGACGACGGCGGAATTGACAAGTTTAGATGGGAAAGAAGATTTTTATTCACCAAAATATCCACCGCCCTGTACCACAAGAGAGGTAAGAAAACTTTGTAAATGTAAAAATCATTATATATCAATATTTAAACCACGCCCTGGACAACCGACCAATATCATGCAGCAGTTATATCAATTTTCACTTGGAAATATTGATCAAAAATATGTATATATTCGGAAATAGCCCATATTGGGCACTGCAATGTGAAATCTTTCATATTATTCTTCCCTGATTAACTCAGCTCACGAACCTGCCCTAGGGCAAAGCAATTATCTCAATAATATAACAATAAAGTATGTATTCATTAATATTAGGCAAAACTTTATTCTCTGAAGTGAATCCACCAGCCCTGAAATTACAAAACAAATCTGCTTTACTTTACTTAATATCACTACAAAAGCAATACGGTCATTAATACAAAAAGCATCACAATGAAATGAAGAAACGTGGAAAATGTAATATATCGACATTATTCTTATTGGGTTTGTCAATAATAATACCAATAAGACACGGTTACTAGGTCAGTATTTCAAGGAGCGTTCACTTCTTCATACATTATAATATTTTATTATGCAAATTTATAAAAATAATGGAATAAAAAACAAGGTTAGTAACAATTTGTAGAACATTATTATAATGTTAATCTATTTTTTCCAAATATTTAAAAAAGCTTCAAACAATTTTACTAGACTCGTATAGTAAATCTGTCCACATTGATTTAAATTAAAACTTTATTTTATTCTTATTTAAGTTGTTAAATGATTCATAAAGTAAAGTAGGTTAAAGCATACTTCCAAAACTTTTCAAACAGTTATTAATAGATTATTCTGGCAAAATTATCCTCAGTCCATTTTCGATCCTTTATATTGCTCGACTCTGTTCATCCAATCTATTATTCAAGTTCACCAAAATAATATTTGATTTTATTCCAGGGTTTAGATCCAGAAAGTCTAATGTTTAGAGATGGAAGACGACAAATTGACATGGTTTTGGCTTATGAAGAAGAGGACCATGGCGTCATGACAGAACATGAAGCAAAACGACGAGATCAAAGGAAATGTTTTCAGGTAATTTTGAATGAAGTGTAATCAAAGTTACACCAACATGCTCTTCTAAATATGAAATAACATATTTTCTAAATTTTATAGGAAAATTTGATGAAGGAAGGACTCGAACTAGAATTAGAAGATAAATCGCTCGCTTTTGATGAGAAAACATGGTTTTTGAAAATCCATATTCCCTGGAAAACTGAGACCAGGTACGCGGAAGTCATGGGATTAAAGTTACCAACAAAGAGGTTCATCACAATATCTGTTAAGGCATGGGTGAGATGGGTTACTTCTGCATACATTTTCAAAGTGATTATCTAATTTAATAACACAATTTAGGATAAAGAAAAAGCTGCAGAAAAGAGTAAAAGCTTATACCATCGTTTAAAAAAATACTGCCAAAGCATATTCGAATATGATCAAGATTTAATTGAGGAAGAACCGAGGTTTTATGGATCAACATCATCAGGAGAAAGAGGAGAACAGTAGGTTATAGGGTTTAAATTAACATTATTATTAAATGATAATAATATTTAGCACCTTTGCAGATTTTTAGTGAAAGATAGAGCAACAAATTATACAAATGCTCAAAGAAGCTTAATTGTTATGCAGATATTATTACGAGTTAAATTCGACGAAACAGAAAAGGTAAATCACTTACTAGTCTGTTTCCTTTTTCCAATTTTAAATATATTCTGATCTTGGAAAGAGTTTATTTTTAATACTTAAATACTCTGCATTATAAAAATTCTTGACTCAATATCATGATCTGACTTCAAATTTATAAAATTCGGCTATCGTTTTCTATTACAGGCTGGTATCCGAAGACTATTGAATGATGGCACTTATTTAGGATGTTTTCCATTGCATGAAGGGCCATATGACAAAACAATGAGAAGCGGAAAACTGACTGATAGAAGGGTATATACAATAATTATTTTCTCAAAAAAGCATACAACAAATTATTTATCGATCATTACAATTATAGCTGCTGTATCTGGAATGGGCACGACCATCAAAATGGTACAAAAGACAGCCTTTACACCTAGTACGAAAATATTTCGGAGATAAAATAGGATTATATTTTTGCTGGTTAGGATTTTATACGAATATGTTATATGCTCCAGCTATCGTAGGCACTTTATGTTTTTTATACGGCTTAGCATCAATGAATTCTGCTGATAATATTCCTAGGTAAGTTATTATTGAATACTAATTTGTTTTTAAGAATAATGATATGATTATTTACAAACTTCTAGTCGAGAAATTTGTGACCAAAATGGAGTTGGAAACATAACTCTTTGTCCGTTATGTGATAAAGCTTGCCAATATCAAAAGTTGTATGATTCTTGCCTTTTTGCACAACTGACATATCTCTTCGACAATCCAGCAACAGTTTTCTTTGCCATATTTATGTCGTTTTGGGGTAAGTCTAAAATATTAGCCACAGAATAAATTAATATCAAATTTTACAAAAATTACTATAAATACTATAGCAACTACGTTTTTGGAGTTGTGGAAAAGAAAACAAAGTGTTCTCGTATGGGAATGGGATTTGCAGAATGTTGAACAAGATGAAGAACCTAGACCAGAATTTGAAACTTCTGCTAAAACCTTTCGAACCAATCCAGTAACGAGAGAAAAAGAAGCTTATTTACCAACTTGGGTAAAGTTTGGACGCTTTATGATCACTGGAAGCGCAGTATTATTCATGGTAAATTTGATGATTGGCTGAACTAAAACAAATATATAGAAGAATTAAGCTGTTGTATTCAATTCTATTTACATCCTATTTATTTTAGATTTGCGTCGTCCTAGGAGCAGTTCTGGGAACCATAATTTACAGGATATCTCTAGTGTCAGTAATCTATGGAGGTGGAGGATTTGTTAAAAAGCATGCCAAAATTTTCACATCAATGACTGCTGCCCTTCTTAACTTGACGATGATTATGATTTTAACGAAAGTAAGTAATAAATACTTACTTTATATAGTGAAGCAATTAATATTGTTTTACTTTCTTCAGATATATCACAAATTAGCTATATGGTTGACAAACATGGAAAATCCAAGGACACAAACTGAATACGAAGATTCTTACACGTTCAAAATTTATTTATTTGAATTTATGAACTTCTATTCATCGTTGATATACATAGCTTTTTTCAAGGTAAGTATAATAAAAAGAAAAGTGAAAAAAAGGCTAATAATAATGATAATATAACTATTTTAGGGCAGATTTTTCGATTATCCAGGTGATGATCAAGCAAGAAAATCGGAATTTTTCCGGTTAAAAGGTATTTAAACTTGAAATCTTTTTTAAAGATCTATTTAATACTTTTATTACCACATCCAGGTGATGTCTGTGATCCAGCGGGATGCCTAAGTGAACTTTGTATTCAATTAGCAATTATTATGATTGGCAAACAGTGTTTCAACAATTTCTTAGAAATTCTTTATCCGTAAGTTATAAATAAAGAAATGAGTAAATTATAAATAAAATTTTAATAAAAACACATTTTTGCAGTAAATTCTGGAATTGGTGGCGGCAACGAAAACATAGAGCAAATACAAAAGATTTAAGTAGAGAACATATGTCTTGGGAACAGGATTATCATATGCAGGACCCTGGTCGTCTTGCATTATTTGATGAATACCTTGAAATGAGTATGATTTTGAACATTGGAGAGAATGTTTTATGCTGTTCGCAGATTAAACAATTGAAACCTTCGTTTTTTTTAGTTTTGCAGTATGGCTTTGTGACATTATTTGTGGCTGCGTTTCCTCTGGCACCACTTTTTGCATTACTCAATAATATAGCTGAAATTCGTTTGGATGCATATAAAATGGTGACTCAAGCAAGAAGACCTTTAGCTGAACGCGTGGAAGATATTGGGGCTTGGTAAGAAAATGTTTACCGGAAAAATATACGGTTAAAATAAAACCTAGAAATAATGTATACCTACATATGTAGTCAGGATGTTCTATACAGATTTATAACATTTTAGGTTTGGAATCCTCAAAGGAATTACGATGGCTTCAGTGGTGACAAATGTAAGAACAACCATTCTAATACAAACAATTATACATTTTATTTAAAAAATGAATTAAAAATATTGTTTCATTACAGGCATTTGTAATAGCATATACAAGTGACTGGATCCCAAGAATGGTTTATAAATTTGTGTACTCAAAAAACCATGATCTGGTTGGATATATAGACCATTCACTTTCAGGTAGATATAATAAAAAAACGAATTTCTAAACGGAGTTAATAAAGATAGTGAAGATAAAACGACATTTGAAATCTATATTCCTTAATTTATGATGATGCGATTTATTGTTTTCAGTATTTAATACTTCGGATTACCGAGATGATTGGGGCAGTGATGCCGAAGACCCCGATCCTCCGACTTGCCAATATCGGGGCTACAGAAACGGCCCGGAAGACCCCTACGACGCCTACGGATTGAGCCCTCATTACTGGCACGTTTTTGCGGCTCGATTAGCATTTGTTGTTGTTTTTGAAGTAAGTTTAATAAGTGAACAAAAGTTTAATGCTCTTGTAATAAGCACAATATGGAACAACTAAAAATAAATAAATAAGTTGCCCAAAAATAATATTTAAATTTTCTTTTCCAGCATGTTGTCTTCATTTTAACAAACATGATGTCTTTCCTGATACCGGATATTCCTGGTGAAGTGAAAACCCAAATTCAGCGTGAAAAGCTTTTGGCGAAAGAAGCCAAATTCGAACATGGATTAACTCGAGCAGCAGCACGTGATGGTGAATACGAAGATTTGATTGCTGCTATTCGAGACAACAATAATGCTTCACGAATGGGTACATTATAAAACTTTTGATATTAATAAACATGCAACAAATGTTTAAGAATATTTGACGAAAAAATGCTAATAATTATTAAAACATAAACTTGGTTTTGTAACACAATAGTTTTAAGTTTTATACACAAACAGGATTAGGTTTGGTATTCCGGCATGTACATATATAAAAAAATACTATTCTTGTTTGAATTACCGCACAATAAATTTGATTTCAATTTTTTTATGAAAATGTTATTTGATACTAAAATTGTTCCATGCCCAAGAAAACTTTTATTCTTTTATTCCTCAAATTAAATACTTTTCAAAACAGAAAGAAATTATGAAATCTCGCGTTCTTAGTATGTAATAATGGTATAAACAGTTATCTTATAATTATTATTCTGTTATTTATTTATTTCTTTTACATAAACATCTGCTTTTTTATACAGGCCTAAGACAAACCCTTTCTCTACTCAGACAACGAAGAAAAACATGTTTAGCTTAAACACACCAAATTCATGGACATTTCTTTCACTGCATGTAACTATTATTTGCTGTCTAAATGTTATGTATAATAAATGTTTTATACTATTTTATATTTTGTTTAATTTCCTTATATACGCTTATGTAGTTAGAATTAAAATATGAGTTATAATGAGTATGAAAGCGCATGAGTACTATAAAACGCAATGTAGATCTACAGCATGTTTTAATATTGTTTTTAGATGCAATTAATTAATTATTTATCTAGTAAAATGTTAATTGTAAGATGAAAAATACAAAGATGATTTAAATTTATGATTGGTTATGCTGAAAAATAATATATTTGAAATTTAGGAGGATTGCGAAGAGGTTCATGGGCAAGGCGCTTGAGTCGGGCATCTGATGGATTGGACGCACATGTTGAAGTTTCAACGCGGGCACGAAGAACACAAGGTTAGGTTATGATACATTACACCATAGATAAGGAAACATTAAGCCACATTTATCTAAACGTTGGGACAATGGAGAGTCCCTCACAAATAAGTGCAAGAGCTTTAATTTTGCAAACTAATTCAATATTCGCTTAACATTGCCCAAAATATATACTGTAACTCAAAAAACATATCTCATTTAACATGTGTGTATATATGAGATACAATAGTGGCCCTAAAACACTCCCTTGCGGAACCCCCGACTTGATGTTACATATTTCTGATGTTTCTGATCTAACTCTAGTTCTGAATAATCTGTTTGTTAAGTAAATTTTCAATAGTAAAAATATCTTGCGCGGCAAAGAATTTTTTATTTTGAAAAATTCTATCTTATGACGACTGTCCCTACCGTATCCTGGCATAACCGTACCAGGTATTTAAGTATTACTCATCTTCGTCCAATGAACAAAGTCCAATTTTCATTATTTTTAGTTTTATATAAACGACATAACAATTCATCTATTAAAATATTTTTTCTCTCCCAGGGCCTGCGGTGAGAGAGGCGTCATAGCATGAGGCTTTGGCCGCCAATTCCGAATGCCAATGTAACGGTGGCGGCCAAGATCAGCGTTTCGGTTGCAGCAACCAAGTGCACCCTGATCCTATGCCGGAATCAAAATATTCTAAAATGGAGTGATTTTCAAAGAAACATTTGGAAAGAATTTGGGAAAGTGATACCGATTCTGGTATAGGCGTAAACAGTGGTGATTCAAAACATGTTTCTAAATTGTTTGTGACAAAAGCGATCATAGAAGCGTCCAAATCATGTACTAATTTGCGAAAATATGACTCGTAACTGATTACCTTGAGACATATTAAGCAATACTATAAACTAAAGAAGTAGGAAAAACAATCAATTTCTTATGGTGACGAATACGCCCACAAAATTTATAATTTTAATCGAATGTTGCATAAGCTTATTATATATGATCTAATATGGAAATATCATGTGGATTTGGCATACAATTTATTTGATATCGCAACCAAAAGAAAAATATATATTTCATATATGTAAGGAAAAATTATTCTCAAATTTTTAAATATGCATTTCTATATGTGTATCATATTCTTAGCTGATCTCACATTTTGTAATAAATATTTTTAACTTCAACATTTATTAATTATAATTACACAACATGAAATTTTAAAAATCATTTTATAATGCATTTATGCAAGTTAAATTTACTAGAATTGTAGTATGTAGGAGTAAATCTTGTTAAAATGTTTATATACAATTTATAATAAAACAAATTAGACTGAATTCATGTCAAATATTTATATAATATTTATAGTATCCGACAAAACTTGAATGTTAAAGAAATATGTCGTATGTATTTCATATAAAAATATGAATGTAAGAGAATATGTGTATGAATTTATGTAGCTTAATTTATGCATTACATTAGGGTTAATATAATCACTATAGAAAAAATATTAAATGATAATTTACATACATCTTTTTTAATAAATTCTCAGCATATTACGACTTTTAATTAACATGTTTTTTATATACTTATATTGGGCACGATAACTAGAAGTTTGATGCTAAACTATTTAGAGGTGTCCAATTTTCTTGTATTATTTTATGAAATATTTTGACAGCAGAAATAACCATATATTTTATATAATTTATATATATATATATATATATATATAATATAACAAAAACCATCTGAATCTAAGCATACATAAACCACTTACCTTAAATATCACTCCTTAAACTCCATCTAATCTCAACACGAATTTGTCGCACTTTTAATGCAGGGTATGATTTATCACGGTTTATTATTTATTAAAAATCAATCATTTTGTTAATTTAATTATTAAACAGACGTTTAACATGTTTAATAAAGTCTGTACTAGGTTATACAAAGAAGTAGAACTTTGTTGACAGCGTTGTAATTTTTCTAATGTTGACAACATGAAATTGTACAAATGTCAAACAATCAGTTGCGCCAACTGTATTCTTGATTTTTAAATAGCAGCGGGTAATATTAATAAAATATATTAGTTGTTAATACATTTTTTTACTCGATATGTTTATTATTTCTGTTGTATAAGCTAGTGAATATTAAATTTGAAAAGAATATAATAAATTTTTAAATATTGAAACCAAATATAATGCCACCAAACTAATACATAAGAATATAAAACACAGGTGTTATTTTTGAAAAAATTCTAGTGTTTTACACATAAATATATAATATTCTAGTATTGTCTGGAGCTTATATATTATATAATGAATGAAAAATCGCACATATAGGTCCCTTAATATTTGTTGTTTATTTACATAACAAGAACAAAATGCAATATCATTTAAAACCCATTTTTATAACAATTTACATAATTTCTTCACTAATATTTTCTACTTCTGATGAGTTTGTTTTTTCTACTTTTTGTCTATCTTCAATATCATATTCTTCAACGACTTTGAAGCCAGAAAATCTAATATATTTAGCTTTGTCCAATCCAAGTGTCTGCGACCACTGTACACCAGCAGGTATATATTTATCTTCTGGACTTTTAAATCCGTAATAATCAGCCCAATCTGCACGGCCACTATAGCACATATATCCCACACCTATAAAAACATTAGAAGCTAGAATAAAATAAGCAAAACTGAGTCGTTTTTGCCATTTTTCAGCTGTGTTTTCTTCAATAGGATTTGTATGACGGCGCACCAAACGACGAAGCCATCGAAATCTGAACATATTGATTGTTAAAATACTTATTAAAGCATCACAAAGAATATAAGTCTCATTAGTGATATTGAAATAACACAATACCTAATGTTTTTATATGATTATTGTGATTAATTATGTCACATAACCTTATTCCTACGTTCTAGTAAATGAACTGTCAGAATTGTACAAGTCTGAAGTTTGACAACTACAATTTGACAGGTGAGGTACACCTTTTCCTTAACAAATTATAATAATTTCTTTGAGTAGTTTATAAGAAAGTAAATAATTTAAAATCAATTGGAACAGTACCTACATTCAATAACGTTTCATATTAGTTTAAGATAAATAGTTTGAATTCAAATACATTTAACTCAAATTCAATATTAGAATCAAAATGTAAAAAAGTACAATAGAAAATAGAACATCCCTGATTCAATTCACTGTATCACAAAAGCATGACAATGATTTAATATGGATTTAATCATAGAAATAAATAAGTACTAATGTATAAAATCACAAAAACAATGAATAAAATTTGAAACAACATATATCTTAAGAATATAAACGATAATGATTAAACTTTAATATTCAACAAACGAAATAAAGTTTTACACATAACATAACCTTTATCTGAATTAATATTTGTGATAATTATGAGCAGACTAGAATTACAGCAAACTTTAAAAGGACACACTGGCAGAGTCTGGTGTGTCTCATGGCACCCCTTGGGTACAGCCTTAGCCACTTGTGGAGAAGACAAAACAATTAGAATTTGGGGTATTGATGGTGACAAATGGGTTATCAAAACAATTCTCACCGATAGTCACACGAGGACTATAAGAGAAGTTGCCTGGTCACCTTGTGGAAATTATATTGCATCAGCCAGTTTTGATGCAACCACTTCTATATGGGACAAGAAGAGTGGTGAGCTATGAAATAATAATTTGATATATAAAGAGAGATCGTTAGGTTATATATTAATCGAGAGACAATTTACCTATCATTTTCTTCTTCAGGGGAATTTGAATGCTCAGCTACTCTAGAAGGCCACGAAAATGAAGTCAAAAGTGTTGCATGGTCACCCGATGGGCACCTATTAGCAACTTGTAGTAGAGATAAATCTGTTTGGGTTTGGGAAATTGCAAGTTCCATTGAAGATGAGTTCGAATGTGCTGCAGTTTTAAATGCTCATTCACAGGATGTTAAAAAGGTTTGAATCATCTATGAAAATATTATTTTTTAGTGCTTTTTTAAGAGTTTGCTATATTTTTCTATAATAAATATAATGCAGGTTATTTGGCATCCTACATCTGAAATATTAGCATCTTGCAGTTATGATAATACAGTAAAAGTTTTCAGAGAAGATCAATCAGATAATGATTGGATTTGTACTGCCACGTTGGAGTCGCATACTTCTACAGTTTGGAGTTTAGCATTTAATAAAACAGGTATAATTTGAATCAATTCAAAACAAGTAGACACATTGCTATGTTTCACAAAGAACTATTTAGATTCAAGTTATCGATGTAAACAATAATTAACTGGACTAAAATTCCTTTATTTTACCAAATTAGATAAGAGTTGTATTGTATAGAGCATATTACGCTTTTTTACAGGTGATCGTTTAGTGACATGTAGTGCAGATGAAACTATTAAATTTTGGCAAGTTTATAAACCTGGAAATAATCAAGGCGTTGCTACTCCTGATAATGAAAATGTTTGGAAATGTGTCTGCACTCTTGGTGGTTACCATACCAGAGCAATATATGATGTGGATTGGTGTAAAACATCCGATTTCATTGTCACTGCTTGTGGAGATGATATGATTAGAATTTTTAAAGAAGATGATATTAGTGATATCCATGCACCAACATTTAATTTAGTTTTATCTGAAAATAGAGCACATGATGAAGATGTCAATTCGGTTAAATGGAATCCTAAAAATGTAGGCATGCTAGCGTCTTGTAGTGATGATGGAACTATTAAAATTTGGAAGTTTTCACATTCTGATATATTAGGCGATAATAAATAGAATTTGTTTTTAATAATGAGTTATTCTAATGTTTATAATTGTAGTATTTGTTGGTAAATGAATAAAGTGTACAAGAAAGTGCACTTTAAATACAAATATTTTTTATATAATGAATAATAAAAATAAATTTATTATTGTTTCTAAATAATTTTTATTTATTGATTTATTAATCATCTATTTATCTTAATGATTATTTCAGATTATATTTTAGTTTTTGTAATAATTACTATGAATAGTAACTGTGGTTACTATATAGAAAATAAGTCATGAACCTTATATTATTACTACATACTGAATTACAACTGTGTTTTAGACTGCACAGGTACATATGTACAGTAAAAAAAAGCCTTTTATATTTATTTGCTACTTTCAATGTAACAGTCTAGTCTCTGTGTACTCCTCAAGTGATTCCTCTTCTGAAATATAAATTGGTTTAAGAGATAACAAATAACCACCGAAATTTATTTAATAATTAGTGTCTATCTAAGAATTGCTATTACTTACAGTTCTCTTCCAATACCAGATTGCTTGAATCCTCCAAATGGTGCTTGTGGCACTACAGCATTATAGCAATTTATCCTTAATATATAAAAATTATAATGCTAGACTACATAAATGCATATAATACTTTAATTGAGATGCGATGAAAATATGTTTGTAAATGTTTGTATAATACTTTTATAATCTGCGAGGCATTTTTTCTTAATCTCAATAAGTAATAAGAAATGCATGGTGACGGAAATATTTAATCGCATCCCTTTCATTATAGTTAAAAAATATAAAACAAACTATTGCAATATCCTTTAGTAGTTCAAACACTATCCTAATACGTAGGTACATCTTGCAGAATAATGATATGTAACAATTGCATTTAATTTTTACAATTTTAAAATCCTCATTATTTCTTCTGCGGCATTACTTCCGCGCCTAACGGATGTCCAATGGATTATAACTCTGACTGATTATTTTTATAAAAAAAATCTTACCATACGGAACCTGCTTCCACAGATTTAGCAAATAACATTGCAGTATTGATATCTTTTGTAATAATACCAGCGGCAAGCCCATAACTTGTAGCGTTAGCTCTTTCAATTGCGTCACTTAGAGAATTGAAACGGAATATGGATTGAACAGGACCAAAAATCTATATAGAAGTACTATATGTTAGTAAAACACCAGCAGGGTAGATATACCGTTTCCGCTACATTTTCAAACTTACCTCTTCTTTAGCAATACGCATATCATCCATGACATCAGAGAAAACAGTTGGTTTTATGAAATATCCAATAGAACCATATCTTTCGCCACCTGTTTGTAATTTGGCTCCTTCTTTCTTACCAGCATTAATCAAATCCATAACTTTGTTGAACATTTCTTCATCCACCTAGATATATTATTCATTGATTTATTGTTCGAAAAAAATTGCATTATTAAATTTTTAATTATAACTAAAATTAAATTTATTGATAAAATATAATTTTAAAGAGGCTATATCTTTACCTGTGGGCCCTGTGCGGTGTTTTTGTCATAAGGATCACCTACGACTCGTGCTTCTGCAATTTCTTTAGCTTTTGCTACAAATTTGTCGTAGATTGCTTCTTGTACAAAAGTGCGTGTTCCTGCACAGCAGGTTTGGCCCTGGTTAGTGAAACAAGCGTCATGGGCGACTAGTGCAGCTTCATCAACTGATAGAAAATTAGTGAAATATTTTTTCATTAAAAATTAATTAAATACATTTAATTTATCTATAAAGGTATTTACCATCAGCATCTCCCATAATAATAAGAGGACTTTTCACCCAATTCCAATGAAACCCTCTTCAAATTACTGCGAGCAGCAGCTGCCATGATCAAATGGCCGACCTAAATTTATAAACATTTATAATATCAATCATTATTTCACATAATTACAACAAAAAATGTAAGTAATATCAACCTCTGTTGAACCAGTGAATGCAACTTTATTAATATCTGGATGCTCGGCAATCGCAGCTCCAGCGGTAGGTCCGTAACCTGTGATAACGTTGACCACGCCTGCAGGAAAACCGCTTCCTTCACCAGAGATGCAAGATATAGGGCTGTCAATGGAGTTTGCTCTGCTGGTTTCAAGACAACTGTGCATCCTGAAATGATATGAGAGATTGAGAAGTGATTCTATTGGAAGAAAAAGCCATAGATTTTGATAAGTGTTTGACCACCATTTATATTTGATGGTAATGCATAGCGATTGTATGATTGTTGTAAAAAATATGGTGTTTTAAAAAAAAAAAGAATTGATTTCTCAATATACCTGCCGCCAAAGCAGGGCCCCATTTCCAGGACACCATAGCAATTGGGAAGTTCCAAGGTAAAATTTGACCCACTACACCAACTGGTTGTCGGAATGTGAAGCTGGTCAATCCATAATCTACAAAAGTATTAAATATATGATTACATCATTTGGTAAAACCAAATACAATAGCAGTTATTAGTTTATAAACGTAAAAAAGTTTTTTACCTGCTGGAATTGTATGTCCATGAATTTTGTCGCACCAGCCCGCATAATATCTGATGGTATGATAGCGCATTGTATATCTATAATACTATTAGAAAATGGTTTTCCATTGTCTAAGGTTTCTAAATTTGCTAAATATTGAAGATCTCTTTCAATCAAATCAGCAAACTTGTTAAGTAGCTTTCCGCGTGCAGATGCGTCCATCTGGCGCCATGCTGAGTTTAGCGCAAACGCTTTTTTGGCAGCAGCGACTGCCAGATCTACATCGGCCTAAGATCGGAAGAATCATATGATTTTAATAAAATAATTATATGAAAATACGTTTAAAAAAAATTTTGTTATGCTGTGCAATAAAAACATCAAAAAACTAATCGGCACGCTTACAATTGATATCTCTGAAATAGATTTTGATTTTTAAAATCGGTTCATCGGTTCATTGGTTTGTGAAAACGTGGACAAAAATATTTGAAAGTAATCTGCTCATTATAAAAAAGGCTTTGCCTTTGTTTCATGATTTTCGCAAAATACTAATCCAAACCTTTTCAAGTTCATCTTATTCATCCTTTTTCACAGTCACACGAAACGAAAAATATGTTCTAATATATATCAAATGATTGGATCGACTTGAATTATAATCAGTAAGTCAAGTTTCGCTTTCGGAAAGTAAATAATTAAATTGTTAATAAATTGTGATTAAAATACAGTCTTGAATGTAATTTGTAGCATATACAATTTGAATGTAGTGCACTACATATCCCGCAAAAAATTTTGTTTTAAATTTATATAAAAAATTATTGTGTATTGCTATATCAATGTTTATATACATGAAGAATTTGTATACCCGGATAGCTTTGGAATATTTCTGTGAAAACCATATCAATGATTTTAAAGTCTGATCCAAATGATGGTAAGGAACCAGTTCCATTTCGACGAGAAAATGAAGGACACACTTCCCCTCTTATATCAATTTATTTGTAAGACAGTCGCCTAATAGTATTAATGACACATACATAAAAATTGACTTTTGTATACAAATAATTTATTGCCTTGAACGTTTTATAAAAAAAACCTATGATAAAACGAAAAAAAAAAAAAAAAATTACCTAAACCCACGATAAACAAGTATAATACCTAAACCGATGCACATTTATATTTGCAGCGCAATTAATATATACGAATAAAATTAGCATAAGCTAACCTTGCATAATATATAAATATTAGAAAATGTAATGTAATTGTTTACCATAAAATTCTCTTGAAATAAACGATATTGTATAATTTACAGATCGTATTAGTAATAGTGTTGCCTCGAATTATTCATTGTTCAAAATATTGCAACAAACAATTTTGTTTATACTTAATCGGCGATCGAATTGATATTGATAAAACTGAGAAATTCCAAACCATTCGTAATGGTCGGTTTTCGAATACAAATTATATGAAACAATATTGATGTTTCAAAAACAATTAGCTACTAATCGTTAAATTAAACATCAGCCAAAAATCAAGATTTTATTGTATCTTGATTGCAACTTTAAGAAAATAAAAAAAACTAATATTAAGTTATGACATGATTAGAACTTACCTTATCACCTTCCGATACATCTATAATTTTCTTTTCATTGGTTGGATTAATAGT